TGGGACTGAACTACTTCTGATTAACCTATTAGGTTACACTGTTTCTATGCCAGTAACCATCCAACTACTCTCACAGTGAAAAATTAGGGGTCATTTTCTTTAACAGCACCTTAAAGTAAGCACATAGTTGATTCTGCCTTTGATATTCATGTTAACTATAATGAGGGTTGTTTGCTCATCCTCCCAGAGAAAACATACATGACAACAAAAGTATGAATCCAGCACTACAGACCTTACCTTACTGCTATTCCAAGCCAACAAGACCACAATAAGTAAGTTTCAACATTAAATTCCTGAGTTATAAAACTTAAACCATCAAGGAGAAAACCCCTGTGTACATACATAGAAACACAGCTGTTAAAAAGTAGATTTTTTCAATACAAGGATCTGAAAATATGCTTTGAAACAAGAAATTTTCAGTATGTATAAAATATTAGGGTTTTTTTTAATCACAATAGTACTACTGAACATTGAACATTTGCTAGCTGTGGGTATTTTGATTTAATATTAATCTTGATCCCATACAGGTAGTATGGAAACTTTTATAACTGATAGCTTTTATATTTGGATAAAAACTACGTTTAGAACTGGTTTAACATCTGAAGATCACAGAATAACAGAATCATAAAAAATTAGAGTTGAAAGGGACCTCAGGAGGTCATCTAGTCCAGCGTTTCCCAAACAGTGTGCCGTGGCATTTTGGGCTGGAGCCATGCCCCCCACCTGCTGCTGCTACAGGCACAAACAGACAGGGAGCGTGGCTCCAGCCCAAAATGTTGTCTGGCTGGCCGTGCAGCACGCCCCCCACCACCCGGTTCGTGTCCGGCTGGCCGCACACCACCCCACCCCTGGTCGGTGTCCAGCTGGCCGCGTGCCACCCCCTGCCCCCACTCCATGTCCAGTGTGCCACAGTGTTTTTTCACTTAGATAAGTGTGCTGCGGGGCAAAAAAGGTTGGGAAATGCTGATCTAGTCTGACCCCCTGCTCAAAGCAGGACCATCCCCAAATAGATCATCTAGCTGGTTCTTAAAAAGAACTAGCTGGCTCTTAAAAACCTAGTTAAGAAATAGCTGGTTCTTAAAAACCTCCAAGGATGAAGACTCCGCAACCTATCTAGATGACCTGTTCCAGTGCCAGATCTTTACTGTGGGTTCTATTAAACATTTAGTTCAAATATTACACAGTATATGAAAACTTTTGATTGTTCAGTAGGTATCAAAAGAACAAAAAGAGACTAGTTTGTACTGCCAATGCCACAACTTACACCAGTACTGCAACTGCAAACTATAAGAACAGAAATGCAAGCTGCAGATTTCAAAGACATTTTGAGATAAACTGTCAAATATATGGATTAGAAGGGCTTCTCACAAGGTGAGCCTTCAAAAATATCACAGGCAATGACTTCATAAAGTTGAAACAAGAGGAGGTCTCATCCTCTCTTTTTTGTTTCTTGAAGGTTTAAGAGTCTTGAAAAACTTGCATCATTTTCTCCACCCTCAGATTTGTAAGCAATATAAAATGTTACCTGCTTTGCCCTTACTGGTGGTTTAGAGAACTGCAGAGACCAATATATGAAACAAGCTGGTAACTGAGCAGCTGCTGATCCCAACCCTCTGGTCCCTATACCACTTGTCAGCCCTGAATGTATATATGGGATGGAACAAACATAGGGCACTGCATTCCCACGTTAATTTGAATTTCTGGACCTTTCTATCCCTATTTGGCCTTTGCTCTACATCGCAGTATGAAGAGAGCTGCAGGTGTGATGTCCCTTACAAGCAGATTTTATTTGTCTAATAAATAAAGTAGTATAGTACCATATGAACACTCCAAAGGAGAATGAATTCACCATGTAAGATTTGGAAAATGTCAGAATTCTTTAGAATTGGACAATTCTACAGGCAAAGATACATTTGTAATGTTTTGTTCTTTCCTATCCAAAGTAATTTATGGTACCTCTTTAAACACCTTAGTCACTAATTACTTCACACACACAGACTGAGTCTACGTCTGCTTTATTGCCAAGTAGAGTAATTAGTTGCAGAGTAAAGCATCACCGTCTACCTATGTAAGGCCACAGTAAACTAATGAATAGGGACAATACTGTCTTATGATAGTTTCATAGTTGGTAGGGTCCGACCCCCTGCCATAGGCAGGAAAGAGTGCTCGGGTCAAACGACCCCGGTGAGGTGTCTATCTAGCCTCCTTCTGAAGACCCCCAGGGTAGGAGCCAGCACCACTTCCCTTGGAAGTTGGTTCCAGATCCTAGCCGTCCTGACAGTGAAGTAGTGCCTCCTGATATCTAGCCTGAATCTACTCTCTATCAATTTATGGCCGTTATTCCTTGTTACTCCCAGTAGTGCTCAGGAGAACAGGGACTCTCCCATTGCCTGCTGGTCCCCTTTGGCCAGTTTATAGACGGCCACCAGATCCCCTCTCAGCCTTCTCTTGTGGAGGCTGAACAGGTTCAAGTCCCTTAGCTTCTCCTCGTAGGGCCTGCCCTGCTGCCCCCTGATCATGTGGGTGGCCCTTCTCTGGACCCTCTCCATGTTTCCACATCCCTCCTGAAGTGCGGCACCCAGAATTGAATGCAGTACTCCAGCTGTGGCCTGACCAAGGTTGCATAGAGGGGGAGGATCATCTCCTTGGACCTGCTCGTGATGCATCTGTGGATGCACAACAAGGTATGGTTGGCCTTCCTGATTGCGTCCCCACATTGGCGGCCCATGTTCATCTTGGAGTCTACAATGACTCCAAGATCCTTTTCTGCCTCTGTGCTGACAAGAAGGGAGTTCCCCAGCATGTAGGTATGCTGCTGGTTCTTTCTCTGTAGGTACAGTACCCTGCACTTGTCAGTATTGAATCCCATCTTATTCTTATCCACCCACCCCTGTAACCTGTCCAGATCCAATTGCAGCCTGTCTGTCCCTCCCTTCTAGTGTGCCCACTTCTCCCCACATCTTAGTGTCATCTGCAAATTTGAACAAGGTGCTTTCCACCCCCTCGTCCAAGTCGCTGATGAAGATGTTGAACAGTGCTGGCCCAAGGACCAAGCCCTGGGGGACCCCACTGCCCACATCCCTCCAGGCCGAAAATGACCCGTCTACCACCACTCTCTGGGTGTGGTCCTCCAGCCAATTGGCAACCCATGTGACTGTGTAGGCATCGACACCACAATCTCCTAATTTTTTAATGAGAATGGGGTGAGAGACAGTGTTGAAGGCCTTCCTAAAGTCCAGAAAGACTACATCCACCACAATACCTGCATCCAAGGATTTTGTGACCTGGTCATAGAAGGCCACCAGGTTGGTCTGACAGGACCTGCCTCTAATGATCCCATGTTGGTTGCCCCTAAGCATACACTCCCGTGCTTGCCCCTCGCAGATAATTTTCTCAAACAGCTTCCCCAGGACCAAGGTAAGACTAACAGGCCTATAATTTCCTGGGTTCTTCTTCCTCCGTTTCTTGAAAATGGGGACCACGTTGGCCCTTTTCCAGTCTTCTGACACCTCGCGAGAGCACCATGAGTGCTCGTAAAGCTGTGCCAGGGGTCCCGCAATGACCTCTGCTAATTCCCTCAGCACTCTGGTGGGGAGATCATCAGGGCCTGCTGATTTGAACAAATCCAGTCTCACCAGAAGTTCCCTCACTAGGTCCTCTCTGATGCTGGGCCTTGCTGTGCCTCCCCTGGGACCATCGGCGATCCTGGTGGGGGGGGATGACCTGGTCCCTGCTCAGAAAAATGGAGGCAAAGAAATTGTTAAATAGGTTAGCTTTGTCGTCTGGTGAGACCACCAGATTTCCAAACATGTCCTGCAGAGGCCCTATGTTACCCAGAACCTTCTTTTGATCCCCTATGTATTTAAAAAAGGATTTCTTGTTATCCTTGATCTGGGTTGCTAGTCCCAGTTCCATCTCCACCTTGGCCTTCCTAACAGCCCCCCTACAATCCCAAGAAATAAAGGTATAGCCCTCCCTGGTGATGACCCTCCCTTCCATTGGGTGTACGCCTCCTTCTTAGCTTTGAGACGTTCCTAGATGCTCTTGGTGAGCCATGGGGGCTTTTGAGCACTCTTGCCTGCTTTGATGTGTTAGGATTGCCACCCTTTGGGCTTGGAGGATCGTCTCCTTCAGGAACAACCGCCCTTCTTGGACTCCCAACTCCCCACCCCTCTGGGACCTCAGTGCCTCCCTGACTAGTCTCCTTAGCTCAATGAAATCCGCCCTCCCAAAGTCCAGGGCTGCTGTCTTGCTGCAGGCCTTTGCCACCCTGTGCTGGATGCTGAATTTCAATAGGTGATAATTGCTATCATCCAGGTGATTGAGCACCTGCAGTCCCCACACCAGGTTGTCTCCCGTGGCCAGGACCAGGTCCAACAAGGCATTTCCCCTGGTGGGACTGTGCACCTCTTGGGTTAGATGGAGGTCCTGTAACACAGCTAGGAACCTATGTGAGTGGTCAGACCTGGCTGACTGCTCTTCCCAGCAAATGTCTGTATAGTTTAGGTCACCGATGATGACCACATCCTTTGACTTAACTGCCTCTGCAAGCTGACCTGAGAATTCCTGGACTAGCTCTTCTCCCTGGTTGGGTGGAGTATTAACTGTGATTAAACACACATGTAGATGCTGACCATGGTCATAAATTGTGCCCGGTCAGCCACAGCTCCACACTTTCAGCACCATCATGCCCCAGCCAGCCCCTCCACTGCCTGACGCCACCACCCAGAGCAGGGCAGGAGCAGCCCTGGTGTAAACGGCTCTGCCCTGGCTCGAATTGCTGCTGTCCCAAGCACACATGTAGATACTGCACCCGGGAGTAGTTTACAACAGCTCAAACTGCTCCAGTGTTTATTGCTTCGATTTAATTGCATGTATAGATGCACTTAGAGGGCATACTTCACTTTAATTCTGTTGAGCCAGTTTTTTTTTTCTGTACACTGTCCCCCAAAGTGAATCCCTAACTGAAAAGTTGGTCCCAAAGAGCCTTTTTCTTATATGGCAGGCAGAGTTCTTTAAAGATGCATGCCTCTGTGCTTGATTATCATCATCTGTCCTTCCTTAACAAATTCAACAAAAGAACTTCTTTCCTCAATTGCTCTAATGATTGTTTTCCAGTTCTCCATCTTGGAATTCTCTGCCATTAGTCAATTGGTAACATTCTGCCACTAATCTATATTGGCAAAGTCTAAAAAAACAGAGATACCAGGTGAGGACTGAATCTATAATTAGATACATGGATGAAACTGAGTGTTCCAGAGCAATGCAAACTTAAAGAGCACATCCAACTGTCCAACTGGTGACCCACATGTCGCATGTCATCTGCGGCCCCCTAGTTCTCAGTCCAAGCTGCTGCTGCCATTAAAACCTCTGGGCTCCCCCCTCCTTCCTCTGGCTTCTGCTTCCTGCCCCTGGGGGTGAAGTAGGGCAACAGATTTGAGAGATCCAGTGGCCAGGCAGCTCAGGGAAACCTGGGACCCCATGCAGTGTGGCCTGGGGGCACCGGAACAGTATAGGAGGGTCATACCCACCATGTGACATGGCAGTGGGGAAAACTTTTATGCATACATATAAGCGTGTACAGGCCCAGGATCAGCACAATAAAAGGTGAATGCTCCAGCATTACACTGTAAGACCCATGTTATAATGGTCTGGAAAAGTGTTGAGCAGTGAACTACTGATAACTGCAGTGACAGTTCATGAGGTGAGTCAAGATGAAAGGAGACCAAAGAGCAGGCGCGGCTGGTGAACTCAAACTGGTGGGGCAGTGGAGCGTCCCACAGGAGCGGGGGGAGGGAGGGGTGGGAAAAGGGGGGGGGTTTGCAGCCGGCCGGG